TGGGATTTTAGTGGCATTTTTCTCTAGTCTGATTTCAGATGGTATGTTTACCAGCCAGGTAAACAATTTTTAATAGAGATTATTTGCTCCAGCACCATATTGAGAGCTTATATTAAAAACAACATTTTATACAATTAGGACTTGGTTGGACATTGAAGTCTCTCTAACACTCTCTTTCTTCTCCGCTCTACACTCTCTTTACATTTCTCTCATTGCTTTCTTATTAAAAAAAATTTTCTTCCAAATTTTTTTCATCCTAATAATTTTTATACATTAAAAAATAATTAACACACAAATAAAATAATTTTTATTCGTTAAAAACTAATTAACACACGAAACAAAGTATTGATTTTTTTAATTGCACCACAGACTGAGAAAATCAACATTGCAATATCTTTAAAATCACTGATTGTTAACAAATGTTTATCTGTAACAAATAATGTAAATGTTAATAGATGTGTTAGCTGTTAACAAATACATGTACCAGAGATGTTAGCAGTTAATAAATATTGTAGATCTTAACAGAAGTGTTAGTTGTTAACAAATACATGTAACATATGTGTTAACAGAATTGTTAGCTGTTAACAAATATTGTAAATGTTAACAAAAGTGTTAGGTATTAACTGTTAACAAATAGATAATGTAGAAATTTTTAATTTTTCTATCACAATGAGTAAATATAAAAAAATCAAAGTTATTCTTTAAAACCACATAGGAAATAAATATATATATATATATATATATATATATATATATATATATTTGAATGAGTGAAAAATAATTAGAAGAGAGAATGACAAAGAAAAAAGATGATAAGAGAGTTTGAGAATGTGAAAGAAGTGAAATCGAATGAAAGAGAGAGGTGTCAGGAGAGAGAGTGGTGAGAGTAAATGCAGAGAGAGGCAGAGGGGCATTCTTGTCACTATTTTAAAAGAGTCACATCATGGATAGTTTGCTAATTAGAAGGTGATTTAGGATGTCTCAGCAAATTATCTGTTTTTAATATTTTAATATGTTTACGCTGGTGACTACTGTATTTCTTTAGAGGTAAACAACTTGATTTGAGTGTGATTGATTACTTTTGGAGTAAATGGAAAAATAAAATAAAATAAAAAAATGAGAGATAATGTGAAAATCAGAAAAAGAGGAAAATGGAATAAGAGAGTTACTCTTATGAAACTAAGCGTAATAACGAGTGTATATTTTCTGCTGATTCAACACTAATTAGAGTAAATATAGAATAATGTAATTTTACTTAACTGAGAATTTCACAGTGTAATATTGAGAAATATATTTTCCACATTTTCTTGTTGCACTATAGATACCATACAATTAAAGCCTTTATTTCTCATGATTTTTCTAAGGAGAAAACAATTACTCTGATTTGACTTTTATTTACTCTATAACTTTTCCACTTAGTTACTTTACTTTTGTTACTCTCAATTACTTTAGTGTTTATCAATCATACTCATAATCCTAAATAAAATTTATGACATTACCGACGGCTCACATTTTCACTCATTATCAATTTGATGAACTACTATGTGTTACATTGATTGGTGTAAAGTTGGATATTAATGATATCTGAGGATAAGGTTATGACAATTGATCAAACATGAAAAAAAATAACGAAGAGATGGTTGGATACCAATTCAATAGCATTTATAGTCCATGTGGTTGTCATATATGAATTTGGCTGTTTGTGATATTGCTAAATCTTTTGATAATGTAATCTCTTTTTTGGGTTATCTTGTGTTTATACAATGTTTTTCACCTTCTTCGACTAGGTGAGAGATGTACAGAAAAATGGTGGGAGGTTTCACACTTAAACCGCTATCAGATACGAGTTGGGAAAGTCATCTTCAAAGCATTAAGACAATATGTGTTAAAGCTCCAGAAATTAGAGATGTCTTACTTACTTGGCATAAACCAAAACCAGTGATCCATGAGCACGGAGTGATGCTGAATGTGATCTTGCGATGAGTAAAACACCTGAAAATGGAGGGTTTGAGTTTTTTAGTATGGTTATATGGTATGATGTTCTATTTTTTGTTAATATTGTGAGCAAGACGCTGTAGTCTAAAGATATTGATATCGATAATGTCGTTGCTCAGTTAAGGGGGTTAGTTTATTTTTTTTCAAACGTATAGATACACAAGATTTCAAGAAGCAAAAGCTGAAGCTTCAAAAATTGTGGTTGCTATTGATATTGAACCCATATTTAACAAGAAGAACAATCACCTTATAAGAAAGAAAACTCATTTTGATGAGAAGCGAGACAAAGGTGATGATGTTTGTCAGGTTCTAAGTTTAGGAGGATGATTTCAAAATCAATTTATTTATCAAAACGATGGACCAAACTCTTGTTTCTTTCCAAACAAGGTTAAACAATTTAAAAAGTATGGAAATATATTTTGGGTTTTGTTTAGTCTGCGAAAGCTCAACTTAATGAGTGATGATAGTTTGAAAAGTAAATGTTCTAACCTTGAAGCTTTTCTTAAGCATGGAACAAATTCTGATATTGGTGGAAATGATTTGCTCACGGAAATAAAAAATTTCAGAGAAGTTTTGCCAAAAACTTTTAAAAAGAACCAGATTTTGATCGGTCCTTTAAAGGTCGGGTATATTTTTTTGTCTTACATTTTTTAGAAATTTAATTTTCATTTTTTTATTTTCTTTGTAATCATATTTATGAATTTTTTATAGATAATTTAATTTTTATATATATGATTTTCTTTGTAATCATATTTGTGTTTTTTCTAATCTTATTTAGAAATATAAATCGGGATTTATGAATTTTGATCCAATGTAAATAAAAACAACGTACCTTTAAAAGCACATGATTAATTTTTTGACGATAATTTTTTTGTTTATCTAAATTTTTAAATTTATTTATAATTAATGTCTATATGAACTATTTTCTTTGGTATATTAGATGGATTAAGATTTTAGGCGAGATTTTTGACCCGTATAAAATATAATATTATTAGTTTAAATATTTATATAATTGTCATTTTCAGTTTTATTTCTTTTTTAACCTTTCATTTTTATTTTATATCTATAAGTAGAAGGGGAAAATATATTTTATGTATCAAATATAATTAAATTTTAATCATATTAAATATAATTTTCAATATTCATAACGTTTAGTTTTGGATCTGTTAATTTTCACCTATACACTTATTGTAATTTTTATATGATATATATTTTTTTACTAAATAACCTATGTTCTTTTAAATAAACATGAAATCTTTACGAAGGATCAAACAATTGGTATTACTATATTTGTATCAAGTAGGATAATATATTTATTTAAGTCATCTCGCTTATTTTTAGTTTAATGTTTAAAGTTATAAAATTTAAATAACATAGTTTTTTTTCTCTTCTTATTAGTAAAAACTTCGGCCAAAATTGAAATAGAATAATTTTTTGTTGAAAATATATTTATAAATAGTTTTTGTTAGGTATTAAATTAGTATATTGAAACTGGCATTTATATGAATTCCGATTTATCAAAGATTGATAGTTAGTAACAAATTGGGTGGTTAGTTATTATGTTTATGAACTATGAGTTGAATATTTCAGATTGTAATTTCAGAACTTAAAATATTAATCAAAACCTGTTCGAATGACTTTTGTTATTTAGACCTCATTTTCAAAATTTTCACCAAACGAATAGTTATCTACTTATAGGAGTCTATATATAAAAATTTGAATACGGTATACTTATAGGTAGGTAGACTTTATTACCTTATATTATAATAATGCAGTTCTAATAATAATCTATGAAAATTTAAACCCTCTGTAAAAAAAAAAAAAACCTAATACGAAATCTTCCAAGTGTCTATAATGCATGATATAGTTTGTTTTTAACAATGTTGATACTGATATAGCACGTGAATTAATTAATGGTAGAGTCAACCTATTATAATTTCTTGCTGTGATATCTATTATTTGTTCTTTAATATAGGGTTAGTGGGTAATTTAAAATTATATAGGATTAGTGGGTTACGGTTATATTATTTGCTTAAAATTAATATGTATGTCAACTTAGATTTATCAATAAGTCATGTTGCTGTTTTAATATAATAGATGTATAAATATTGGATTATTTGAAAAGAACAAAGATAGCTATCCGAATATATGGATTATCTACATGATAATGCTCATCATCCCTGTTTCACTTGCTTCAGTTGAAAGAAGTTTTTCTGAGTTAACATTGATAAAGTCTTATCTACGATCTTCTATGTGACTGGGAACGTTTAACGAATTGACTATGTTATCAAATGAAAAAAACTCTGATTCAAAATCTCAATTATAAAAGAATTGGCTATGTTATCAAATGAAAAAAGCTTTATTCAAATTCTCAATTATAAAAGTTTGATGAATGTTTTTGCTGAAAATTTGCAAGAAGAGTTATTTTTTCAAAATTGGTAAAATTGTTGTGTTTTTCAGAACTATTGTAGTGTATTTTGATTATGAATTATGTTTAGATTGTTCTTTTTCTTTGTTCTATAGTTTTTTGATGTTTTTACTGAATATAATTTTTTGATGTTTCTTTATTATCAAAACTATGATAATTTTATCTTTATTTTGAATAAATCTCCAATTTTTTACATCTGGCTCTGTTAATGACGATTTCATCGATCCACTATTCTGAAATTGATTCACTACTTTTGTGATAATATTGGAGTGTAATTATCTTGCAACACTTTTAGTTCAGTATTTTAAAAATAACTTAATGTTGTCAAAAGAAAACTTAATTTTCTACCAACATAATTTTATGTATGTTTGTATTTTTTTTTAGTTTTTTTCATATCTTATAAAAATTTTAAATAAAAATAAAAATAGAAAAATATGATTCTGTTGATATGTTAAACTAGATAAAGTCAATAAAATCAAAATCCCTTCAAAGGCAACGTTAACGAATAGAATCCCGACGCTAACTATCCAAGCCCGGGCATAATATTAAAATAATATTTAGTGGATCATAAATATAAATAATAATATTGTAATAAAAGAACCACTTAAGAAAGACTGTAACAGTCAACTCAACTATACAGCTTGAAACGAAAGACGACTTTTCTCACATCAAATCGTCTTCTAATGTTTGCGATCTCATCCAACCCCCAAAGGCTGCCTTTCCATCATCAAATTGATTTTCTGCGTTTGTAGTTCATGAGAATCCGTTTACTGATTTTATCACCAAACTGGGTTCGTAACGGATGAAGATCGGAGAGTTGCTGCTGTCGGAACTGCTTCTGTCTCTTCCAGAAGATGTCTTTGCTCTCATCTCTCGTCTTCTTTCACCAAGCGACGTTTGTAACCTAAGCCTATGCTGCAAAACTCTCCGCGACCTTGTTGATTCAGAGAAGATATGGCTTGTGCAATGCGAAGTCGTAAAGGTTCTTCCTTTATCCGAAATAGTCCAGTGGCGAACAGGGATCTCTTCTTACAAGTCTCTTTGTCGGTTTCTCGTAGAGGTAATGAAGCCTCTTGTTGGGGTTTGGGTTCACCAAAACCCTGAACTTGGGAATGTTGTTTATGTTATGTCTGGTTTCTTGTCTGTTATTGGTTGTCGGATCATTCCACAAGAAGTTGGTTCTTTGGGGATCCAAGAAGGTAGGCTTATGTGGTCACCTGTGTTTGAGATAGTCTCTGGTTTCGATGGCTCTGCGAAGTTTTTCCTCCACGGGGTAGATAGAGAAAGCAGTTTCTTGTACCCTGGTTTCGTTACTGGCATTGATAAGTGCTGTAATGTGCTTCTCCTCGAGGTTGAGCCGAAGAGACGAGAGATTGAGAGAACAGAGAAGGTTCGGTTTCCGTTTTGTAAGCTACCTTTTTGTGATAGAAGGAAGTTACTATATTTGGTGACGGGCCATGTAGGTTTACCTGTGCCTGAGCTATCCTTGAAAGATGATTTGTTGGAACGCAGAACCATGCTGCTTAAAAGGCACAAGTTTGGTGGGAACTGGAATCACATGAACCTGGAGGATGAGTTGTCTTACAATCCGATCCAAGTAGAAATAAATGATGAGTTGTGGACGCATCTTGGTTATGGAGGAGATTTTCGCCATGTGGATGATGAGATTCAGGTACAGGGGACACAGAGGAAGAGCTTAAGCAAGTATTTCAGAAGTGGGATCAAGCATATTCTGAGGAGGTCTAGCTCAACTGGCTCTTCTTCAAAGCAAGCGTCTTGTAGCAGTGAGATTAGACGTTTTAATCTCCAAACGTTTCTTAGCTCTGGTGATTTTGTTGGTCTTAGTGTTAAAGCATCAAAGATTAAGCTGGCTTCTTACCGAGGTTGGCCAAGCATGCACGAAACTCATTTCGCACTTTATAAGCTACCAATCAAGCAACCTGCTGAGAATCAAGAGTATGCTGGTTTGTGGGGAGGAACTTTTGGCTGGCCACCTGGAAAATGCACTGAAGATAAACCTGGTAAGGCTCTTTTCTTACTGATGCTCACTTATGAAGAATCTCAAGATGGTAGTGAGAGACTTCTCATCGGGACGAAAATACTGGAAGGGACTCACTATGTGATGCATCCTAATGGATCAGCAATGTTTGTTGTAAAGATTGGTTCACCTTCTTCTTCTGAGATCTTTCCTTTTGATGATATAGAAGAATATGGTTTTGAGTGTTCTTCTTACACAGGAGAAGGTATTGCAAAAGGTTATGGTTTTCGGTATCCTGGATACAAACCAGGTTCACTTTTCGTGACATCTAATGGTCTTCTCATGTTTGTTTGGAAAGAAACCAAAACTGTGTTGACGTTGCAAAGACTTAACCTTGAAGAGCTCTTGAAGAAAGGCGTCTGTGTATCGCCTTTGCCTCCATGTCTGAACTTTACTTATTTGACAAAATCTCACACCAATGTGTTTGCCTCGGGGAAAAGAACATCATAGAAGAAAGACTTCTGCAACAGGTTTTGAAGGTCAAAAAGTCTTGTCTTGTTTCCATTATTGAATGGAAAAACCATAACATAAAAGTATGCTTTCAACATGTATGTACTAAGTATATGAAACAATGTATTGTTAAGGTAAATTAGATTTGTGTGTCTGAATTAATTTTTAAAACATTGTATTGTTGAATGAAATACAGCGAAAACTACACAAATTCAAAACATTGTATTGTTTTAAGTATTGTTTAAAATAATAAAAGTAAAGAGTAATCTCAGAAACATTTGAGATATATCCTTTCCTGGGAATGTAAATGCAAGAGGCAAATGATGTCATAAGACATTCAAGGATGAGTTTACATATTCATCGAACAGATTCATGACTTGGTAAACACGTTTGTGTAAGACGTTTCCATATAAGTAAAGTTCTTAACTGGAGGCAGAGGAGAGACGCACAGACTCAAACCTTTCTTCAAGATCTCTTCAAGGTTTATTCTTTTCAATGTAAACACATCTTTGGCTTCACGCCAAACGAATGCTAGATGATCGTTAGAGATCACGTAAAGTGAACCAGGTTCTGAGTCCGGATAACGGAAACCATAACCATCTGTGATACCCTTTCCTTTGTAAGAATGCTCAAAGTCTATTCCACCTGCATCAAACGGAAAGGGCTCAAGAGAAGGTGTGTCGATATCCACAACAAACATTGCTGTTCCATTGGGATGCTGCACAAAGTCATTGCCTTCTAGTATTTTCGTCCCAACAAGACGTTTCCCGTTGCTCTTTTTAGATTCTTGGTAAGAGAGCATCAGTAGATAAAAAGCATTCCCGGTTTCATCTTCGTTACATCTCCCAGGTGGCCACCCAAATGTTCCTCCCCACAAACCAGCATACTCTTGGCCATCTCCAGGACTCTTGATCGGTAGTTTATGCAGGCAAAAGCGGCATAGGTCCATTCGTGGCCACCCTTTGTAACAAGACATGTCAGTGTAGAAAGCTTTGAGACTAAGACCAAATGTATCACCAGAGCTAAGAAAGCTCCGACGAGCAGAGTTGTGACCACCCATCTCGTTTATGTCTACCTGCGTAGGATTGTAACACAACCCATCTTCCTCGAGGTTCATGTGCATTTTAAGGAGCATGGTTCTGCGTTCCAACAACATCCCTTCATCATCAGCTTCCGACGTGGGAAACAACTTCCCACTTAATGGTTCAAGAACATGGAGACCAACATGGTTTGTAACTACTTGGAGTAAGTTTCTTCTATCGCTCTCATTGAGCTCCTGAAATGGAACACCACTCTTCTCTCCCCTGGGCTCAACCTCGAGTGAGAGCACATTGCAACTCTTGTTGATGCCCGTAACTAAACCAGGGTACACGAAACTGCCTTCTCTGCCTTTCCCATGGAGGAAAAACTTGGAAGAGCCATCGAAATCACAGATGAACTCAAACACCGGTGACCACAAAACCCTCCCTTCTTCAATCCCCAAAGGACCAGCCTTTTGAGGAATGATCCGGCACCCAACAACAGACAAGAAACCAGGCATCACGTAGACAACATTCCCAAGCTCAGGTTCTTGGTGAACCCAAACCCCAACAAGAGGCTTCGTCACCTCTACAAGAAACCGACAAAGGGTCTTGTAAGAAGAGATCCCAGTTCGCCATTTGACTATATCGGATAAAGGAAGAGCCTTTACGAGCTCACACTGGACAAGCCAGACATTGTCGGTGTGCACAAGGTTGTAGAGGCTTTTGCAGCATAAGCTTAGGTTGCAAATGTCATTTGGAGATAGAAAACGAGAGGTTGAAGCGAACACATCTTCAGGAAGCGAGAGAAGCAGACAAGTAACAAATGATTCCGACCGTAACTCTCTGATCGTCATGATGTGATGATACTCAGGGATCAAATCTGGTCGTAAACTCGCAATGGGGCTTGCCTGATTCAGAGTCTGAAGATCGAAATGCAGTCTGGGTCTGAATCAGATTAGACTTTACGCACAAAAGAATCTAACTTTTAGATCACATGATCAAAAGTAGGGATGAGATCTTTGGCTACTACAGAATCTACAAGCACAACTTGATCGCTTTCTTTCAGATCGTACAAGGAAAACAAATATAGTATAATATACCGAAACGGACCGATCACCCGGTTGAAACGGTATATCCGTTCCTTGACACTATTCCGGTTCGGTTATCCTTGAAACCTGAAAAGCTTATTAAAACCAATGATCCGCCAACAACCTATAACCTTGGTCGGTTAGTCTAGTTTTCTTCAAAACTAAGTATTGGGAAATAGGTGAAAATATTTGTCGGGTCGCACCTTTGTTTTTTTTTTTTGAAACTGGCGCACCTTTGTTTTAACTTTTAAAAACACACACAAAATTAATAATTTTACCATTTTGAGAGTTTGTTTAATAAAGAATATAGTGTCATAAGAGCAAAATTACAGTAAGAGATCAACAAAAATCGAGTTTACTGTGAAAAGATGAAACAAATTTTAATTTTTTTTGTAGTTTTGTATAGATATTTTTCATATTCTAACAAAATTCAAACAAGATTTATAACAAAATTATCAGATTAGTTATATTTAAATGAAAAAATAAAACGAAAGAAAAAAATTATTTTTACTAATTAGTTAAGAAATTTATATCAAATGTTATAAAATCAAAACCCAAATACTTGTACATAAAATCAATGTGAATCAAGGCCAACAGAATGCAAAAATATTAGTTATACATAAAATTTCTACTTTGATCTCTTCTCTCTGGTTTTCTTATATTTTAAATTCAACTTTTTTGCTTTTCTGTACTAAGTACTTTTAATGCAGCTACATGCCTAGATCTAGATGTATGAACATGCTTGTTTAGTATATTTATATTCATTCTTTACCATATACTGACGCACTAAGTCAGAAGATTTACCATTTTAAGAATGTCTCAGCTTCTAATTATATAATATCTTTATTGATTTTAGAATTCTTTTTTTTTTGAAAAACTATTGATTTTAGAATTCAGATATATGTTTTTTACGTAAAATGATGAAGCATGATACAAGATTTACAATTTTCATCTTTTAATAAAGGCTAGAGATTGAATATATGTGTAAACCCTTTCACATTGGTGTTTAAAGACTGAATCTCCAACTTTAATCACTTTATTTCTCCTTTCAAATCACATGTATGTCCAAAAACTGCAGGTTCCATAATTTTGTTTTAATTTTGTGTAGTTTTTCTATAGCAATTTTATATTTTCTAACAAAATTAAAATAAGATTTATGACAAAATTATCAGATTAATTATATTTAAATGAACAAAAGAAAAGACAAAAGAAAAAAATATTTTTACCATTTAGTTAAGAAAATAATATTAAATGTTATAAAATTATACATAAATACTTATACATATAATCAATGTGAATTAAGGACAAAGAATGCCACAATATTAGTTATAACTTCCATTTTCAAAATTCATATTATAAAAAAAAACTAGGGTCAATTTGCTGAATAACCAAAATAAAAATGAAAATTAAGTATATTAATTAATGGTATTATATACCTATAGAAAGAATACTAATAATAACGAAATCATCCGAGTTACAATAGATTAATTAATGGTAATATATACCTATAGAAGGAATACTAAAAATAAATGGATATATGAATATAATATTATTAACTACAAAAAATGATGTGATACATAAAAAAATTCACGTTTATTTACTAAAAAAATAATTAAATATTTAAAATTTATTTTTATTTCAAATTTTGTCAGCCATGAAACTAAATTACCTATCTAATTTTTAAAACCAAATTATAGCTTTGGCTAAAATTTAAGATAATAAATAAATAAAGTCAATAAAATTATATTTTAAATCTAAAATAAATAAAAATACAAAATTATAATAGCTTATTAATAACAGAAATACACTACTATTGTTATATCAATAAATTTGTTTTTCTCTATAACCATTTTCTTTGACTAGCATATTAATTTTTTATCAAACTCTAAAAAAAACACAAATCAAATAATTTTTTTAATTTTATTTACTATTTAAAATTATATGAGAAAATTTAATTAAACTTTTGTATAATTGTTATCAGATTTTGTTTTTTGGTTTGAATCATCAAGTGCTGGGTCACGGGTTAATGATATTTTTTAACCCAGTTTTATCAAGTTTGTAAATAATGTGTTAATTTACACTAAATACAAACAAGATTTTATACGGGTCATTAGAGTTACCGGTTTGATCACAATCTATATCGGATAAAAACATTGGTGTAGGCTAAACAAATTTAAGATGTCAAAATAAAAGCTTCTCAATCATAAACTTCAAACATCAAATATTTTAGACCAATATTAATTATTTTTTATACATACTAAATATAATTATCCCGTGTTTTTATTTTTTAAATATAATAAATTTAGGTAAAATGAATTAAAATATACAAAAACATAAAAAATAATTAAAATATATTAATCATATTTAAAAAAAATAATTATTTATATTATTTAATAATTATCTGCAGGCTCTGCGGGTTATCTGTAAATTTAAGTGAAGTGAGTTCAAATAAATATATTTTCTTTATGGGTTAGAAATATTAAAAAATTAAGTCAAAAAGTGAATCAACCCACTGTAGGAATGGTCGAGCAGGACGGGTTTGACCCGCTTCCTAGCACTAGGCACGAGTGTATAATTATGCAACATCACAAATTGAATACAATTGTCAAAACACCTTACCAATCATTTAAAAATATATTTTACATAAATATGATGACAAAAAACACAAATATGACTACAAACACACAAATGTAAAAATTAAATTTATAAAAAAAGTGAAAGTATAAAATTTACCCTCCCTCTAAAGAAGTATAACTCCCTATACTCCCCATTACAATCAAATATACTCGATTTAATATAATCCATAAATGCGATCGAAACATATATATATAAATTTCATCTTCTTTGAAAAAGATACAATATCCGCGCTTCGGAAGTGCGGGTCAAAATCTAATTTATATTATAACAAAAACTAGGGCCAGTTTGCTGAATAACCAAAATAAAAATGAAAATTAAGTATATGATATTAATTTTGATATAATTAATAATCTAACATTTATGTCACATATGAGCCTTGGTTATACCTTTCCTTTGAACAAGTATCTGGTGAAAAAGAGAAAATAAATGACGTCGTTGATTGTTTCTATGGACAGAAATGAAAAATAATTATTCACAATCCATCACGTAATAAACTCCACATCACACACTTCTTTCCCACGCGATTATTCATATAGTATGAAATTTATGTAAGTATAAGATAGTATGGAATTTATGTTTATGTTGATAAAGATATAGTATACAAAATTATTAAATTGGGACATTGTATAGAAACGAAAATACAAATTAATTAAAGAATAACATATGGTATAGTCTGTTGGGGTCAAAATCGGTACGACACAATCAATGATCAAAACTTTCCGTAAAAAATAAAAATACGTTTTATAAAACACGAAAAGTTGTTTTATAAAATTCTAAGGATTTTCCGAACAAAGAAAATCCGCGTAAAACTTGGAAATTGTCATCTCCGAAAAACGAACGAAACAATCTCCGATTACTCGATTGTCCAAGTTAAGCAAAAAATCGCAAAAACCGCATCCGCCATACTACGAGCAGGTTTGACCAAACCAGTTCGACGTGCGACGAGCCGAACCAGCCGGTTCAGCTCGCCACGGTGAACTGGTTCGTCCTGGACCAGCTCGCCGTACGGTGAGCTGGTCGCCTCAAATCAGCTCGCCGTAATCGAGCTGACCGTCCCGAGCCTTGATCCCTCCATCCTCAACGCAAGGCATACGTCCTTCGTTTCGTTCGTGCTCTGAACCATGGTCGAAACGTCTCTCGTTTCATCTCGATCCATCTTACCATTCGAGTTTTACGATAAAAATCGTATAAGTCTTCTTTTCTCGTGAGAATTCGGGAAGATCGTATAAAACGGCAACGATTAGACGGAACATCGTATATTGTCAAACTATACGATTAACTCGAGATCTTTTATAAAAGAATCACTAACGACGCATTTTCTCGTAAAACCTCGAGTGGATCGTATAAAAACGGCAACGGTTAAACGAAACACTAAACATTGCCAAACTTTACGATTTACTTGAGACGTTTACTTAAAAACGTCGTCGTATCAGGAAACGATATTGTTTAAAGTCGTAAAACGGCTAAATCATAAAACGGCTCAAAAGATCCTAAAACGCGACAAAGGCCCACTCGCGACTTTGAATAGGGTCCAGCCCAAAGATACAATGACGGTTTACTCACAGAAAGAAGATAAATGTCAAGTTTGAAAATAAGTAGAAGATTTCCAAAAAAAAATGGAAAGATGGAGATAAATGGAAGATTTCCGATAGACTCGAATCTGAGCGAAAAGGAAGGACTAAACCGCCTAAGGAGGGAGTATATAAGAAGGCCAAGGACAAAAAAAGGACACGATTTTCAGAGCTCTCACCACCAAAACTTAGCATTTAGGCAATTTTCCGTTTTTGTTATCGAGATGCGTCTCAACTAGGGTTTTAGTCTTAGATTGCTAGAACTAGGAATCTCGCCAACAGCTCACGCAGCTAAGGCTTACTCTTGTTGTACCGTTCTTACACGAATTCAGAATAAGCCTCCTTCTCGCTCTCAATCTCGTTTTTTACATACAGTAAAACCTCTATAAATTAATAATGTTGGGATTCGGAAAATTTATTAATTTACAAAAGTTTCCTTATTTAGATTTTTTTTCATTTTTATTTTTAAATTAAAAAAAAATAATTGATTTGAGCGTATGTACCTTATTTAAATTTAGAATTTTGACTTTATATTCTTTTATTATCTTATTTAGGGTATATTTTTATGTTTCATAGAATTGTTACGTGGTTTCGATATAATTTGACTAAATATTATCAACATATAATGGAATGTTAAACATCAATAAAAGTATTTTTACTGTAAATATAAATCAACAATATCATGTTAGATTGTACTTATATAAAACTATTTGTAGATAGATTATTAATTTATGATTTTAATGGGACTATAT